TAACTATCTGCTATTGGGATATTGGCATGCGCTGGGATACTGATGGAATCAAACGAAAAAATACGTGGGAAAATTATTGAAAGTGCGAGGTGCTTTCTGTGGGAAAATATTCACCCATAATCCAATTGACTGCCGGCGAGAAAGTTGATGATATTTTCATTAGGTCTAAAAATTATTCAATCATGAACAGTATCCAGAAAATATCACAATTTTCCCGGTTATGCTGTATTGTGGCAAAAATAGGATGATAAGGACCGTATTTCAGGCTAATGGAGATGTTGCATGTGTGAGGAATTTGCGATTTGACTGTTGGTTCTTATGCAAAAGTTCGCGAGAGACACGCTGGTGCCACTGGTTTTCTCTTAAATCATCTCCCAAGCTCAAAAAAAGCTCTCAAATTGAGGCCAAAATGGAGGGGATATCCCACGCTATCATGAGAGTTCACTTCTACATCAAGACAAACTCTCCATGCAGAGATAGGGAGCAAATACATTGACAAGGCTGCCACTTTATTTGGGGACTCCAAAACTGAGAACACGGCAACCCTGCTAATGTATTTCCTCCCTATCTTTGCATGGAGATTTTTTCTTGATGTAGAGGTGGACTCTCAGGATAGCGTGGGATATCTCCTCCATTTTGGCCTCAAGTTGAGAGCTGTTTTTGAGCTTGGGAGATGATTTCAGAGAAAACCAGTGGCACCATCGTGTTTCTCGCGAACTTTTACATAAGAATCAAAAGTCAAATCGCAAATTTCTCACACATGCAACATCTCCATTTTTTCGTCAACCTAGATTTGTGGTTAGATTTACCTTGTCTACTCGTTGGAGCCATATGAATCTTCACTGACTTTACCAAATATATGGTTGATTAGATCATTTTCTTTCGCTAGTGCCAAAGGAGCCTCGAAATATAGCTACACCCGGATAACGTTTGATTTTCATCCATGACAGTCGGTGAACATCTCGTCGCACCGATATATCACGTCGAACATTTTCGCTGATTTGAGTAAAGGAGCGGTCGCTGCATTAAAAAACTTTCACGGTGCTCGTTTGAGCGAGTGATTTGCGCGCTGATAACGGTGCCTGTTTTCCCGCGAAAGCATCGAATTTCATGTTCGAGGGGTTAAAAAAATCTTAATATTATGCACGATTTGGCGCTCGCGCCGGGCTTCGTTCCATATCACACGCGGCCACGCTGTGGCAGACATTTTCTCGTTTCTCTGGCTATGGATGAGCTCCGGCGTGAGGTTGCAACGTCAGCCGGGAAAACTCCGATTTTTGAAGGGATGAAGCAGTGTACACGGAAAAGAAACCTCGTGCATGGGACCCGAAGTTTAGGTCATATGGATCTCTGAAGTTTTCAGATCGAGCATCTGAACACTTAAGGTCTAGCTGTCGAGGTTCGGATCACACATCTGAAACTTCAGTTCTTACATCTGAAGTACTTTAGATGTGAGAACCGAAGTTTTTCGGATGTGAGAACCGAAATTCTTCGGCTGTGAGAACCAAAATTCTTCGGATGTGAAAACCGAAGTACTTCTGTAACCGAAAAACGAAGTAAGAACTGAAGTTTTAGATGTGTGATCCAAATCTCAGCAGCTGGACCTTAAGTGTCCGAATGCTCAATCCGAAAGCTTCAGAGATCCATATGACCTAAACTTCGGGTCCCACGCACGAAGTTTTTTTCTCCGTGTACCACCCAAAAAACCATAGAAAACCCCGAAAAAATAACCAGTTATTTTGATGATCAATGACTTTCAAAAAATCTCGGGAATAGGTCTCGTTATCTTCGTGGCTATTTTATTAATTTTTCGATCAAATTCAATGAAATTCTTCATCCGCTTGAGTTTTGAAGGGAAAGCTAGGGCAAATGGTTTGGACGTAGGAGGCTTGATGATTTGCGTGGATCAATTGGACTACATTTTGCAATTAGGAACTATAAATTCTAGCTCAGTTTAGAAACGACGTATGTACCATTAGTTTTCCCTATGCATCTAGTTTTTTTTACAGATGAGCCAGAAATTATAGTTCCAAATTGCAAAATATAGTCCAATTGGACTACATTTTGCAATTTGGAACTTCAAATTCTTGCTCTTCTGGAAAAACACTTATGTGCATAGGGAAACTGATGGCACTTACGTTGTTTTTAAACCGGGCTAGAATTCATAGTTCCAAATTGCAAAATGTAGTCCAATTTGTCCTCCTGGTCTCCTCCACCAAGAGCTCTCCATTGAGCAAAGCGGCCCATCCCCTAATTGAATTGAATCTCCGCACTCTCAGAGGTTCAGACTGTTGCAATTTGGAAACCTTAGGTCATAAGTCGAAAATCGGAGGTTTGAGAATGGCGGAAAATTATGGCGATGATTCCTTGTTCTGTCGGTATCCAAAAAAACATGCACATTTGCCTAGTAGGTCTCTGAAAACTATCACTAAAAATAAAACTGTGAGTAGTCACACACTTAAAAATTAGTTCGGTTAAAATAACCCCAAAACGGTGTTCATCTTAATCTACACTATCGATTAGTAGAGTTGTGGTTTTTGGTTCCAGCATTTACAGCCCAGTGCAATCGTTTCATTCCACTGAATTCCTCCAGTTAAAAAGTTCGATTACATGAACTGAGAGTACGGTTACACGATCAAAATATTACAGCCCACGCGAAACCTCCACTACACATGACAGCTTATTTTTCCTCGGTGCGGTGTTTAAAGTAATGATGATGATTACGCTTTCAGTATTATCTGCTCCAGCATTTATATTATTCTCGGTTCCTAGAATCCGATGTCCAGCATGCAAATCCACCCGGCACTATTCCAAATAGACGCGCTTGGTCTAAAATATACTATGCGCAAATACAGTAGACCAAAAGGGACTATGTACATAGGGTTTGCACGACACATAGTTGTTTTGCATTTAATTTATATGCACATAGTTCCTTTTAGCATAAATACGTCGAAATGATACACATTCCCCGACCGTGGTGAATGGGAGGAATGGCGGAGCCAGGGATTCAATGGTGCCGTGCTGAGGAAGAACACCGTATGAACATCCGAGCGTTGCCAAATTTCTCTGGGTAAAACACGTATTAACAAGGAAAGTTATTCATATTCCTCCTTGAAATTTTCAGATATTTTAGATCAAAGTGCGGACAAAATTATCTGAAAAATTTGAAGAAAAATGTTCGCAATTTTTCAAGAAAATTCGGTGTTTATTGATGTAAATGTGGCAACGCCTAATGGCTCATACGGCGTTTTTCCTTAGCAAGGCAGAATGGTTCCCTGAATGCTTCCGAGAATCGATGATCGCGTCCAGTCTCGCGCTGCCCAGAGGGTCAACGTTGGACGGCTTTTACCGGGCGCCGGAGCCGGGAAGGGGGGAGGGGA